AATTATTTAACACAGACACATGTACAATCAATACGTCAAATGTCGTAGATTCTGCCTTAAAGAGCCACCCTTGAAGAATTGTAGGACTTACACCAGTACGCCTACAACCCTTCTCAGGTTGACGCTCTAGGTTGAAAAATCGTCGCAGAGTTCATTTGCTGACTTCCCTCTATCAGCTATATCCTCAAATCTCCACGGTGACACGCTCATGTCATTGTATCGTAAAATATAGATGACGAACAAACACACGACGTATCTGGTCAACCAAGCGTAGGCACAGAGCAATTTACACGAAAGATAATAACATTCAAATAGTAACTTGAAACTAGAAATGCTTTTATTCATGCAAATCAATTTAACAATTACTATCTCGTTTACACTTGGCTTATCCTCACTAAACTGAGCAATACCTTTCGTCTTTTCAAACGCACCAATACTATCACAGTCATCGCACAAGATACTTGAGTTGGTGGGCGTCCTTCTCATTGTGGATGACAACACCAACGACAACTGTTTGATACCAGTTGATGAACTAAGAGGTGGATCAGAAGCTGTTGTTGTTCGGCTTTCAGATAGTTGTCTAACTGCAAGATTACCACCACTGCTGTCTTTCACTACTAGTTCGGGTTTAGCATTATCATCTGATGATAGGTGGGCTACACGCTGATCAATTACACTGACGGTCTCACAAGTATCCATACCTTCTGCAACTGAATCTGTATTCAATTCTACTTCACGTTGTAGTTGTACAGAACCTTTATTCAACTTAGCAGTAGTAGGCATTCCCCCCATTTCATCATGACCAACCAAAGACGAATCTGCACTATCATGATCATTATCACAAATATTAAGTTTACCATCATCTATCTGGTTGACTTCATCATTTTCAAACTCTTTAATAAAAGCAGTAGATAAATTGGGTTCTTCCTCACAAGTCCTTGAAGTTTTTACACCTTGACTCTGACCAGTAATACCTTGTAATCTTGTGGAGTCAGAACTGGACTCTGAAACTGTAACTCTCTTCTCCTGTGAAAACTGTGGTGTCGTCTGTGACGATCTATTCAACAATAGTGTCAACGTCGTTGAAGATTGAACGATGAAGTCATGGTTGTTTGCTCAAACCTAACTTCCCCATATTTTATCGGGAGTCATCGATACTGCAATCATCGTTTCATCATTCGCTTTTCGTTGGAATACAGGTATAAACTGTCATAGGCGTTATCGTGGTTTATTTTTGTGACTTTTATTCCTAGACATTGTGTTGACTAACCTTTTGTTTGTCTCTATGTTGGTGCAAAAATAGAGGGTTCTTGAGTATCCAATTTGTGTTCTGATTTTTCGCGTCTTTTTATCTTAATTCATTCTTTGATAATACGAGTTATAACATCCATTATACCCTTATCATGTATAGATTTATTTACTTTACGGCTCTCTGTAAGTCTAACTTCCCTTGCTAACCAAATACTAAAATTTTGTTGGTTCTGTGTTAATACTTTTTTATAATATGCGTAGACAGTTTACTTCACTATGTCAAATGTTTACTCTATACAATACTGTTATCATAATTTAGTACACTAAGTCCTGCCAATCGACCTTACTTTCATTTCATTCTGCCTACATTGATCCCTAACTATGGTGTTCTGCTGAATCTTGCTCCGCTATTCACAAAACCTATTCTTTTCACTCCTTACGTTTTTTTACTTCTTATAAGGTAATCTGTTCATTAGGACGCATGCAAATATATATATATATATATATATATAATATTTTCATAAAGATATACGTGGAGACCTATTAGAAGCACCCATTAGGAAGGCTAGGGAGGTTGAATATGAGGTACGAACATGTCTGATACCAAGCAATATATTTGCGGTAGCCATAATAATCATAGTCTCAGAGCCTAAAATCATAAAAGGAGGGAGGGTGGCGCTAGCTGATCAGTAGATATGGTGGTGGTCACTAAGGTGAATCGCCCCATTCTGCAGGAGCAGCAATATGCAATTTGACGGCTCGAGATATTTCTGATTTTTATGAGGGCTTAGATCTTTATCTTGAAAAAGATAATAATGAACGCCTTGACAGATCATGCTTCTGCCTTTAAACATATACCATTCACTCAGCCTATTGTTGAGGTGCGACCACGCGGGATCTGCACAGATTTATGGGGCATCTTATAAACTAACTTGATATCCATCGTCAGATCTTTAAATACCACTTCACAATGTCTTATCTCATTTATTTTCTAATAACGTCTTTACTTGATCCTCATTATATTCCATTAAACCTAACATTTTATAGCTCTACATGAATTTTATTCGACTTATTCTATTCCTAATCTCTGTAGGGTACGTCTGTGCACCAAATAGACAAAAAAGCATGAAATAAAAACAACTGGCTTGAAAATAATTGTATTAAAGCCAAAAGTGGACATCATGATTGTACGAATAATATTGGTATCATTATACATTGCAAATGAACGTTGTCGGCCTAAGGATTAATTACTTCCCCATTCTGTTTTCTATATAAATGTGTTTAGCAATGATATATTGCACTTGCTTAATTTATTACACTTTAAGGATTCACATTAGCACTTCAACTTTTCTAAAACAGCTTCCAATCCCTTGTAAACGTTGTACTTACCTCAATATTGGTTGGTTATCGTATGCCTACAACCACGGGTTGAGAACGAAACAAAGTCGATTTTCCCGCGCAACCTGGGGGACAACTGTACAATTCAATAACTATGCGGCCTGGTTCAGACAATGAGTGTTTTATATGTGTGTATCAAATATTTATCTGTTTAAACACTATTAACTTGTAGACAATCTACGATTTGGTGTTACATCATACTCGATCGTGCCTGCAAAATGGTATGCATTCTCATGTAAATTCATATGTTTATATGAAAATATACATTATTATTACGCAAAGTTTCTGAAAGTTTTCAAAGGACAGCGTGAGGTCTAGTGTAGTAAGACCTGGACATTTGATATCGTGTGCAATCAGCTGCTTCTAATTTACCCTGGACGAACTTTTTGGAACTCCATATACTAGTATTAATTTGTAATCTGAACATCAGGCATTTAACTTTCTCCTGGACAAAATAAGTCGGGCAGGTGCAGGTGGGCATTTTGTATCATGTTCGGAGGTTTGCGTAAACGAAAGGAGACTCTGCACAGGGGTTAATCTTGTCCATACGAAGTACTATCCTGAAGCCACCGATGTTTTCGATTCGCATCAGTGAGCTGTCATGCCATCCAAAGCGCCTAATTCTTCTCGACACCGATGACGTAGTAACGAGCTAGGAGGACTCTGATGGGCTACTGGCAGGCATAAACATTCTGAAGACTGAGTGACTATCAGCTATATTACCGTCAACCTGCAAAAGTGCAAAGTAGTTCGACTACATACCTGTAGGTTGCAGAATGTAAGTTACTCCCTGTGTAACGTAAACTTGTCCCGCAAACTCTCAGAGAGCGATTGAGGTCTAGGGGAAAACGGACATAAGGGCGAATAACAATGGCCATGTAGCGAGAGCATATGCGGTCAAAGACTTTGTGTATACTCGGTTAAGTGTGCCCACTCCTGAGCGCTTTCTAAGATTTTATAACATACAGGTAAGACCACACCTTGGAGTGCTCAGTGTCATTACTCCACCGCTTTTTAGAGAAAACGCTTAATTTTCAAGAACGTTCAGAATTTACGACAAAAGGGGTGATGTGTTTCTGAAACAAACCGTATTATGAAAGGTTGAGGAAATTAGGTCTTTTCACGTTTAGCCCCCATCGGCTTGAAAGTGACTCAGTTATCGCCTATAAGATAACAGAATAACCAAAACCGACCAAACAAAGGCATTTTGTCATTAAGTACATTTGGACTACGTCATGTCAATCCACAGAAAATAGCCTATAGATTATTAAATGTGAATCCGATTAAAATAGTATAATACACGTTTTCATTATCCGGCGTGTTCCAGCGTCGCGAACAAATATGGAACGTCGTTGTGTCAAAAGACTCGGATGAGGACGTGAGAAGATGTTTCGCCAACGAAATCAAATTGCAAAGAGCGTGCCAGGTGTACATAAATGAAACTGCGCAAAATATATACATATTTATAAGAAAAGAAAACAAATGTCCTATGACACAATGGCATGTATTCGACAAGCATTTGCGAAATTAGATTCTGTAATGTTATAATATTGGGACATCTAGTAGTTTCACATGCGTACAGTTGGATTAATATAGTGGTACCTGGAGTCCACCAAATATTAAAGACTTTGGTGCTCTCCCATTTTCTTTTCACTTCGAGGTTTCAGGCCCTAGAACTCTCTTCCTGATTATGTAGCTACTAAACCACTGGTGGAAAGTTATAGGTAGAGAGTGGGCAATGATACTGCAACATGAAGACTGTGTCCAAATAACCAGTCGTCCTAATACCTACACACTACCAATGGATACACGCCCGAACTCGTATTTTCACTTCTTCGCATTCCTACTTGTCTTGCTCTTCTGATTACTCCAACTATTAATTCCTTTAAATTCATATTTTTATTGATGCATGTTTATATGTATGGGTAAATTCCAGATCTCATTAGCTATTCGTTTTTACATTTTATTTTTTCCTTTTAAGTCTGCATAATCTGCACTAGTTATACCTCTTATTATATAACATTGTTATATCTCTTTTAAACCACACCGGACTACTGACAGATGAAAGAATCAACTCCAGTCACAGTAGTGACACGGTGCTAATACACCACACATTACAAGCCAAGTTTAGTCAATCGCAGCACCACCTTTTTGGATTTGACCAAAGCTACGTCTGTCGAGTGACAGGACAGACTACGCAGAAGTTTATGGAAGGCCAAGAAGCTTTAACTTACAATCAAGAAGAGGGAACAAAGAAATAAATTTATCTTACATTAACTCGTTGAAGCGCTATTGGACATTGGATAGAAGTGGTGTGGCGATTTGGTTCCCACGTTACAAAGTTACTCTAAATGGTAGGGCGATACTATTTTGTCATATGTGGACCACACGATGAAGCTCTGTTTGATTTAGACTACAACTCACCGAGCAAAGCGACTGGTGGAAAGGTAGATGCCTTCATTCCATTTATTTAATTCTCAGACAGACGACTGTCTTCATTTAAACCAATTTATTGCGCATGCTGCGTTGGATTTAGTGGATGACCATGTATGGACTAAAACAGATACTTATTTGAAAGTTGTAGACAAGTTCAACGAATGGATGGTTTCGGCGTTTGTGACGCCTGGAAGTATCTTTTTTATCTAATTTGCAATTTTACACAAAAGCTGGCTTTTGTATATGTAGGCGTAAATCTAGGTTTTTCTTCATTTACTACCTATGGCAGAATACTATGGTTTTCTGCTTGGTGTGTGGTAAATGAACAACATTTTGTGGCAGCAAGAAGGGCTTTTGGGATCTTAAATAGTATAGACGTTATATGTGCTTTGTTCCAGGAAATGTGATAGAGCATATTGATGTGGTATTATTCACTGAGTAGTGTGAGTGTAGTGATATATGTATACATATTCAGTGGAGTAATGCCAGTGCTAAAATAAAGCATCTGTATCTTCAAGTACTTGTAGATTGTGACCACTTACCCTACAATCAAAAATTAGTAAGCTGCTATAACTGGATTGATTAATTTTCACACCTAAAGTGATGCAAATATGTAACCTCTAAGGCAGCTTCCGGCTTCACAGATAGAAGGTTTGGAGATTCTTGAATTTTACGTCTCCATCCCTGATGGTATAATTTCATTTTATGAATCAGTAGGAGATTCCTTTGGGTCTTAACGATAAATAATAACGCAAAACTTAAGCTTAGTTACAGTTTACTACCTGAGTGTCATAGAGAACCATTTTGAGCCGTATCACCTATAGTCCTGAGCCATTGGTTCTAAACATCCCAATGATCCTAAACAGACAGTCTATATCTTCCTACATGGCTCAAACCAAGAAATAGCGAAACGAGTGTCTGAGGTTGACAGCAGGACTTCCTCTGAGGTAGCCTGGCACAACATACAGTTAGCTGTAGACACAGCTGTAAAAGCTGTTAATAACCTAAAGTTGGTGAGAGCCATGGGATCTCTTCTGCCTCATCCGAACTGATTGATGCAAGAAGACTGATTCCGGCGAGCTTCGATTATGATGAGGAGCGAAAGTTACTCAAACGCAAACTAACAATCAGTCTTTGCAACGACCGTGAACAGTGGTGGGCGGCAAGAGCGAAAGAGATGGAAAAGGCATCGGTGATTGGTGACACCAGACAACTATTTAGGCTTATCAGGGAAACAGGTGGTAAAAGGCAAATGATAAGTGAAACAATCTCTGAGAAAAATGGCACAATAATTAGCTTCCAGGATAGACGACTGGAACGCAGGAAAGAACACTATGAGAAGCAGTTTAATTGGCCCACAGCCACGCTCAACCTTCCGAACATTCAACACCTCGCTGAATGGGATATAGACTCAGGCCCTCTGTCCCTAACTGAGGTTACTAAAGCTGTCACTAGTCTGAAACTAGTCAAAGCAGCGGGACTTGATGGGATGACTCCAGAGGTATTTAAGTACGATGGAGACAGTTTACTGTCTGCATTAACTGAGGTTCTTGGCAGCGTCTGGGAATCAGAGGAAGTCCCATCAGGTTGGTGTAAGTCACTGATTATCCCAATATACAAGAAGGTAGACAAGTCATCCTGTGATAATCACAGAGGGATTAGCTTGACTGATATAGTATCTAAAGTACTAGGCTCAATAATCATGCGTAGACTAAGTGGTGCTCGGGAGGCACAGACACGAGAGAGCCAGGCAGGCTTTAGACCAGGAAGAGGGTGTATTGATCATATCTTCGCCCTCCGACAGATTCTAGAACATAGTCATTCCTAGCGGCGTCCAACAACCATATTTCTTGACCTAAAGGCGGCATTCGATTCTGTCGACCGAGAGGTTCTCTGGCGATGCTTGGCTGTAAAGGGAATTCCGAGAAAATACATTGTACTGATCAAGGCACTCTACTCAAACTCATGCAGCCACATGAGGGCTTACGGTTAGTTGTCATCTGAACTGGTGACGACTAGTGGTGTCCGTCAAGGATGCCCATTATCCCCTTTTCTATTCAACTTCATCATAGATGTTCTAATGGACTTAGCCCTAACCCACTTCAGAGGCACAGGAATTGACTTGCTACCAGGGAATGATCTCGCTGACTTAGAATATGCAGACGATATACACCTTTTCGGCGAGGACGCTGGCAAAATCCAGCAGAGTCTTCTGAACACCTTGAGCTGCAATCTACGAATGTTTGGCATGTGATTCGCCCCCGCCAAATGTGAGATGATGTTACAGGACTAGACTGCACTGACTCCTAATTTAGAAATGGGGAGTGAAGTGGAAGAGCATGTTGACAGCTTCACTTATTTGGGAAGTACCATCAGCCCCAACGGGTTGATCTCTGGCGAAATCTCAGCGCGGATACGGAGGGCTCGTTTTGCATTTGCCAGTTTACGCCATCTCTGGCTTAGACGTGATATGATGTCCAGCTATCGACCCAAAGGCATATGTACTGCTCAGCAGTTCGCTCCGTCCTCCTTTATATCGGTGAGACCTGGCCATTGAGAGTGGAAGACATGAAAAAGCTGGATGTCTCTGATCTTGGGTGCCTGCGCTCTATCTCCCGTGTGAAGTGGTATAATAAGGTGAGCAATATTGAGGTTAGGCGTCGAGTGCTAGGTAGGTTGGAGGGGAAGTCAATCGACGAGGCTGTGAAGCTGCAACGACTGAGATGGTTAGGACATGTGTTACGCATACATCTCTAGTCATCTTCTTCCTCGACGGGCAGTGTTAGCTGACATAGGGTCAGACTGGAAAAGAGCTAGCGGAGGTCAAACTGAAACGTGGCATCAGTCAATGAAATCCATAACAGTTAGTTTAAGCCAGCCAGTCACGCAGGAAGGTGTAGACTGGCTTCCTGGTTGGGGTCCTCGGGACGTTAAAAACCAGTGGCTGGAAACAATTGGTGATGTGGCTCGAAATCGTTCTCAAAGGCGCAGATGCATCCACTCCTTGTGACTTTCCAATGAAACTAAATTGTTCTTCGTTATTACTATTCCTTTGTCTCACACCTCTGTTTACTGTCTCCATTATGCATTTCTTTTACTTTGTTTTCTTGCTTTGTGTGCTACATGGAGTGTGGCGACTCGAATTGTCGCACATCGGTGCAAAGTTCTATGTCGAAAACAGACAGACAGACAAACCAACTGTTACAGAATTCATGAATTGATACAAGGTTTTGCTTTAATTACCTTCAACTCTTTGTCAGTCTGGAAGTTTATGTCCAAAGTTAATCATAGTCTTGTATTCTGTTATGAACAGAATAATTATTCTTACTCTGATGTTGGTAATAAGATTGTTATTTGGGGTTATGGGGTGACTTGTTTTTTTCTTTTCAGAATTAACTATGGATTACTATCGAGTAATAGCCTTAACCTAATAAAATTTTAGGACTCCGATTCATCTTACTTCATGATGAATCAAATGAAAACCGTATTAAGTACTTTTTTCAAGACACATATGAAGCATACATAAAGGTAAGGTTAATTATTAGTAACCGAGATAATTTCTTGTTTTCAGCTGGCGTTAAATCCCTTTTTTGAACGTGATAAACCAATAACTTCTCCCAGCTTCACCAAACGGGTGCAACGAATTGCTAATAAACACTTTGGTTGATGAATTTATTCTTTTTAAAGAATGAATATAACAGATCTTTTCTATATTATTTCCAGTTAACTTCTCTTATCCTTTTTACTTCTTAATGATGTATTCACATTGTAATATATTACAGTTTCACCTGATAATAAATTGTTATTTAGCTAGTGTTTTCGAATTTGAAATACTGTAGTGTAGGTATAACCCTTCAAGAACTTAACCTGGGTCAAGTAGGTAAAGACACCATTATTTTGTAGCATTCACTCATTCTGCCTTGGTGAAAGTTGTTCACTAAGGTGTTGAATTTTTGTGTGAAGTCAGTAGGTTCGTAAAAGTAATACATTACATACAGATTTACTAGAAGAATAATGAAATTGATTGGACGAATTCTGTTTAGTGCACAGTGTAGTCATGGTTAGTTAAAGAGGACAGTATACTAGGTGTTTATGTATACTGTTCTTTTGTTCTAACGCTTTATATCTGGGCTACAGCAACGCATTGAAATTGAAAGCTTATAATTTCTGGCGAGGTTAGTGTAGTCTGGTAATCAATACAACACAATATATTTGCTAAATAGAATCAAGGAGATAGTTGTACGTTCTGTTGAATTCTTTTGGTATTTAGGTGGTAATAATTTGAAATAAGATCACTAAACATATATTCTATGATTCAGTGGTGATTCTATTAGATATCAAAAGGAATTAGGCAGTAATTGAAATGAGGGAGGTAAGATGTTTGGCACGGCTTATGATTTTCAAGGTACCATCTCTAAAATATGTTTGACAACCGAGCTTCTCTGAATTGTAAAGGGAATTCTTTCTATTGTCCGCTAGTCTTTATGTGATTGCTGCTCACTTTTTAAACCGAAACTGCCATAAAGCATATTTCTCACTGTCAAATCAGAATACTTTTTTAGATGAAAATACGCTTTGACTAGTCAGCTCAGTGTAACCAATGTTATCTTTAGTCACAAGTGCTGACTGAAATTTATTGATTGGGCTTACAATAAGTTTCAGCTTAGTGGTCCGTCAGTACATCCAATACAGTTTTTTGGTTCATTCCTTCGCATTCTCAGAGGAACATAGGGCTTCAAGCTTGAACTTTGAAGTCGGATTGTAAAAACACGTAAGACACAGAAGCCAAGATATATGTATATGTTCTTTAACCAATCACTAAGCGTGTGATTTCGGTTTACATCAAACGACATGAAATAGAATGTTCAAACGTACATAGTATTCTGTTGCAAATGCAGTATATAACTGAGGAAAGTATCCTGTCTCTAACATCGAATAGAATGGTCAAATAGATATATCGTATTCTGTTGCTAATGCCGAATCGAACTGTGGGAATATGTGAGAATAGTATTCCGTTGGCACACTTCGTCTGTATCACACCACCACACCATTAGGCGTTGTTTACGTGGCGTGGGGGCTAGCTTCACACCCAACGTTACCTCTTCCCGAGTGCTACTGTCTAAGCAAAGTTCAGAAATACGTCGACCGAGAACCCGCCGAGATATAGTAGACATTATTTAAATTTTGAACAGTCTGCGCGTAAACATTATATCCAGTGAACTTTCAGGTAAACTTTGTTGACCAGTTTAACATTAGATTCCGTGTTCTCCTCGGATGGCATCTAATCACTAGGTGTTTTACGAAGAATCATCTGGTGAATGGCTTTCTGATTGTATCTACGATTTCAGGGATCTGATTGATATGGCTAGTTTCCAACCATTTAAATCGGTCGGCAGTGTCCTGTTATCGAGCCGTTCACATTTTATAATCTATGTTGGATTCCAACTGTAATTTGCAAATAATTCATTGGAGAAGATTTGCAGCTTAGATAGATGTTTTTGATGTTGAATTCTTTGAGAGGGATAATTTAATTATGAAGCTTTGATTATCCCTCTAAACATCATCACTAATTCCAGGATGAAATGTACTTTTGAAATTCTCTGTGGAGAAAGTAGCCATCTCGCCTAGCAACTATGATTGTGATTCTTTGTCTCTAGAAATTGTCTTATCATTACATTCACCTGCACTGCTTTTGATTGTTACTTTGACCTGGTATTTGACCTTCGATCATGCAACTTATTCTGTATTGATTGGTAAATTTAGTCTATATTCATATGTCAGGTGCAAGTTTATCCAAGTACAGTGCTTCTAGGGATCATATCCGTAGTTGTTTCAGTGCATCCATATGAGGGAATTTACATCGTACCTTCTGACTGCTAGTTTGGGTTCTTTGAAGTGAAGGTCTAGTTTGAATTAGCAATACATCCCTTCATTAAGTGGTAGGTCACACCTACTCCAAGTGGCTTGAAAAGTCTACAAAGTGGGGACCGATTATTTCTAAAAACAATTGTATACCTTTGGATGGTGACATTACATATGCGAAGATATGAACAGTGTAATGTCTTAAATACGATCTTGAGGAGTCTTTGGTTATCAAAGATGTTCACTTCTCTATGTGACAACTCTAAAAAGGATTGAACTACAAAAGCAGTGGTGTTTGTAAGACATTAATTAGCCGCCGTAGAATCATTTATGTTATGGAGTGAGGAAATGCAGTATCCAATTTCCTTACATAGGAGAAGGTAGGAAAAACTATATTATTAAGCGTATACTCAAGAACAAAATACCTTAATGAATAAAACGAACCTCCGCATGCTGCCCGCTAACTAATGTAAGAGGTACTATAGCTCTAAACATGGAGAACTGCATCGCGATTGTTGAGGTACTTCTCAGTGATAATGTATAACTATTGTTCACGACAAAGACTATTTGAACGCCAGACAGCTTATCTAATGCATCTTGACTAAAGAAATAAACGGAAGTTATTTATTTATTTAAACGCGGAAAAATACTTGGTACAATATGGCACCAAGAAAGATGCGCCGCACTAAATTTCATTTGTTGTGTGAGGGCTGAGATACTGCCCGGCCTATTCGGGAGTCTTTATAACCGACGTACGGGTCTCCATGCTACGTCATACTGCGGTGAAAGTTCACTGAAATCGAGGATGGCTTATGTTGGTCACCAATTTTGAATCACACTCTACAATCGAAAGTCACATTGTACTAAAGTACATTGAAGATCTTCACAATGGCTCCAAAAAGACTACAACGTTGTTATTTTACATTCTGAGAAAAGCTAATGTGTAACACTGACGAATAAGGGAGATTACACAGAAAAGATGCATGGAATATTTTCTGGTGATTAGAATATTAAGGCTGATATCGATGCGAAAGATAAAACCTTGTCCATGGAAAGAAAAATTGTACGACATATAAGACAACAATTCTAAAAGAAATATACTGATGAAAACGCATTAAGAAATATCACATTATGATCGGGTTACATATTCCAAAATTATATGTGTGTAAAAATGCACCACCAAGGAGTGCATATAAGACACGTACTCTCAACAGTATATTTACAGCGAAACAAAGTAGCGCAGTGGTTTTGTGAATTATTGCAGTCCCTATTGTTACGTTTTAGAACATATGTAGTCCCTTATTTATTCCACCATGTCAAGAAGATTAAGGATTTGACTTATTTTTCGTATTTACAAATGTTTCAGTCATTGAGAGTATTGGCTTCATAAGTAGAGAAGATAATAACATGCCTATTCCAACAAGAGAACTAAGAAAAATGTTACTTTTAAAAGCTAAAGATATCTAATTTCAACTTTATGGTCGACTATCCAATCATGCGTTGGTGGCATAGTGGTTAGGACGATCGCCGACCATGCACATGGTCTAGGGTTCGATCCCCGGCCAGCGCACTCCTTTACCTCGCTAAGTCAGAAATAACGGTGGTAAAGAGGAAAGGTTAGGCATGAGGCCAGCAACCCCATCCTGTAAAATAAACACTGCTACAGAAACTGCAAGCCACTAGCTTGAAGCCCTATGTTCGACTAGGGAACGTGAAGAAAATCCCATCATTTTGATAGTGTTGCAATAGGAATTTCTTTTGGGTCACTCACTGCATACCAACAGTGCTTGACCTCGCAATGTATAACAAAGCAGTCAGGAAAATAATGTTCTACTATACAATGGTAAATATTTGTTAGGCCTACGTAGTCAGTTTCTATAGAAGTCTAATGCGGATGTGTGAATTAGTTTTAAAATCATTTGATTAGAGTTAATACAGGGGCACGATAATACTTCACTCAACAAAGTTTTATGGGGATATTTATTAGCATATAATAGAGGTCCCTCGATCGAGAGAGCATTTACAACAACTGGAATTATATCTAAGTTATGTACACGAAATTTTTACTGTCTGTGGAACTAAATCAGAGACAAAAGATTTGTTAATGAAATTCAACTCATGGAGTCCTTATTCTAACATTACAATAGGACACACCATTGGAAGTTTCTAGTGAGAAGGATTAATTGTTCAACAGAAAGATCCATACTTAAAAAAAGTTTTCACAGACAGAACAGTACCTACACTGTAACAGCTTTGTTCACATCCAGTATAAAAAGAACCTAGTTATAAAATTGTTCGATAGAGTACCAAGAATTTCTTTGAACGGTAATATCGAGTATGAAACAAAGACCCTGAAGGATATTTTGTCGAAGATTAGACATTCCTAGAGGTTCATGAAATAAGAAATACAGGCCACTACAACTGTCGAAATCGACTCAATAAAGGCTGAGTTGAAAGACGACGTACAAAAAGTAGTTAGGAAAAGAATTGAGACAGCTATGACGAAAACTTATTATGCTGCAAAACCCGTCCTCCTTAACATCACCTAGTGGGTCATTCAACAATCTGGGAAGACTTATCGCAAGCCCTCGACACTTCCAAAATTTGCGTACCAGTTTGAATGTTTCTATGGAAGCAAATACATAGGTTGTAAATAAAGGCGATTGTTTAACTGCTTGACAGAGCGTTTGCTAAGTGGCTGAAAAAAAGTTGAAGTCAAGGTACCAAGACGTTCAGTAACAAAGACATCTTATAGACTACTGACATGATGCCAACTCTGTCTATTCATTCACTGTTGTCGTCAAA